CAATACAAAAGCCAAATAAAGCTAGAGACAGCATTTACCATTTGTTGCTTTGACATTATCAGGGATGTGCTGCTAAATTGCTTTGGGTTCTTGAACTGGGCCCTTGGAGTTTTCTGAGTTGCAGAGCAGATGATAGGTGACACAAATATTATGGGAAAGGCCCTCTCTTTAAAGCACAGGGGAGGGATGCTGCTGGGATGGAAGGGAAATAACACCACAGACCCTCACATACAACCTTGTTTAACAGCATGGCCTGCACAGGCTGGTACTGTGCTATTTCTGCATTTGACACAAACACGTTAATATTTGCAGTTACTTTTCCAAAGGAAGAAGATGCCAGAAAGTGACCGAACAGCTCCATATGCTAATGTGTTTGAGCTACATGGCTCGGAGTACAATACAGATGCCATAGCATAGCACCAAAGATTGATGAGCCTTGGCTTTTACCCATTTTTGCATTATTCTTGACTGCATTCTTGCAGTCTCCTGGATAACTATTGCTGTCTGTGAGCTGCAGCAGAAACGAGCCTGGCCCAGGCAGTTGAGACAAATGATTCTTTGTAGCTCATGGCAATGATGTTAAAGCTGGAACAATTTCATTAACTAGCAATCAGAGGGGGAAAATACAAGTAATGAGCAATTTTCTGTGTAGAAAGCAAAGACATTGGATGCTAGCTCTTGAAAATAAGTAGCAATACAAGAGGCAAGCTGAAGAAAATCCCCAGAGGAACATGCACCAAGACTTTAACCAGAAAGTTTCATGCAAATGTACCTCCTGGGCCAGTTTCTTGTTTGTATGAGACATATTTTCACGGCTGCAGCCCTGACTCCCCCCAGCTTGGAGGAGTGCCTGGGAAGGGAAGCATCAGGGTGGATCACACAATGGGAGAGCAGAGCTCCATGGCAGCACACGTGGAAAGGTGAGGGAGAGGGAATGATGCCAAAGACTATCCAGCTCTCAGAGCAAATCCTTCACTTCTTCAGTTCCATCCCCATCAGTGTGCTGTGAATAGGTTTTGGACCTGAGCGGGTGACTTTTCCCGTCAGTTCGGCAAAAATGATTTAAATATTATTGACCTGGCCTCCCATCTCCAACTCAGCTTAACAGATAAGCAGAGGAGCTGGGATTTTGAAAGCTTTCTTGAGGGTAAAGTCTATACTAGCACAGTTTCACTGCTGTTTAGTCTACATTAATGTTATTTAAATTTTGCCCAGGGTCTTTAATAAGAGTTCAAATATAACTGTTGGGGGTTTTAAATATGTATTTTGAAAATTGGAGCCATCCAAAATATGCAGGGCAGAACATCTCTTGTGTTTATTTTTATTCCCAATCTGCATCAGCTGTCTTCATGGTTTGGTAGCGTGAAGTACTGGAAGCCTACCAATATATGTATATATATATATATAAAACTTCCTTTTTGGTTCCCATTGGTGGAAGGACAGTTTCTTTTTCCCTTCGAGTCTCTAAAAAGTCACTGTGCAGGCTAATTCAAGACAAATGTGAACACATGATATCTGAACAACGGATGTAAGGCTCTGTTTGAAGGAAGTATGCTGAAAGGGCCTGCGTCCTTAGGGGTCTTCTGTAGGAGAGAGTGCTGGCAACCACTTGGAGAAAGGATTCTGTTACTGCTGTGGTATTCTGGGCTCCAGACTGCAATGTTTAGAATGTGCTCTGCTCAGACGGTTATGGGAGCAGCCCCTCCACCATGGCAACTAACATATGGCTTTGCCTTGTTGATAATGATCACACGACAGAGAGAAACAGAAGAAAAAGGAGGATGGCCTTGCATAGACAGACCATGACGGTCTATGACTGCATTCTCCAAGGCTGTAACCAGAAGCTATAAATTGCTATATTGCATATTTTCACTTCTCATCTAATTGAAAAAGCAGTGTATACAGTTTTGCAGATGGCCCATTTATTTTGCTGAACTACCCAGAGCTCAAGGATGCTGTTTAGAACTGGGTACAAGCACAACAAAAGGCCAGGGGAAATGGGATCTTGATATAATTAATTGTCAGGTATGGATGAGTATCTTTTTTGCAAGGCCACAGCACTACCTTTCCGAATTAATGAATCTTTTGCCACAAAGGCAGAAAAAATATAAGGCACACTTGCTCACAAACTGCCAGAAACTTTGCAGAATTTTACAGCAGCACAGTCCTTAGTCTGCTGTTTGGACATCCTTCCTCAGCACTGGATGCTGAGTGGGTTATGGGAGGAAGGATAGGCTATGTGCAGGTGAAGCCCATGGAGGACTTTTCAGCCATACTACACCTGAAGGTATCATGTGCCCTCACAAGAGGAGAGGGACCAGGGGAATTCCAGCACGCAGTTCTCTCTGAACCTATCCCCATCCACCCCATATGCCTTGGGAAGCAAGAAACCCTCTGAAACTGAAGCCATCCTGCTCCAACCTCTCTTTTACATACCCAAATATACCAGCTCTGCTGCAGCAGGTGGCAATTTGTGTCAATGCCAGATGACTGCAACAAGGTCCAGTATAGTCTGGGAGATTTGAATGCACTGCACCAAGGGAGACCATGAACACTATCACCAGAGCACAGCAACAGACTGGAAAGGGGAGTATTGTTGTCTTCATTTTACACAGAGTGGGCTGAGATACAGGAATATGTTGGATCTTCTGTCTTTGGTTAAAGACTGGTAATTATACACAGAGACAGCTGCTGATCTCAAAATTCTAAGAAGTATTCCATTGTGCCAAAGGAATAAAGAATTTTTAAAGACGAGATTTTAATTTTAATACACGAGAAGTGTATTATGATTTTTTACTCTCTTACTTTCTGTTCTTTTACTTGGAAGACTTCTGTTATCCACCTAGAGATGACAGAGGTAGGCAAGGGCACATGAAGGACAATGGACTGTGAAGAGTGAGCAGCCTCATGATGCACACTAACAATCCTTGCTCAAAGATTCTTTATCCAAATTTCTCTCATAATGACAAACAGACCTGAAAAGACAATTTGCTAACCAAAGAAGGGCAAAACCAATAATAAATTGAATTCCAGTATGAGTTACCTCATGCAATACAGATATAGCTTACAGGTACTAATGTACATTTTGGATAGCTTATCTAAATTGCATCTCCAAACCTTTTTGATAGCAGCTAATCTTTGTTATTAAAATCACTGGATTGCTTATTTAGGTGTCATGCACACAATAAGAAAAAGAAAAGTACTAGAAAAATACTAAAGTACTAGAAGAGAAGATAGTAAAGTTCTTACTGTAATTACAAATCCCTCCAGTGACTCATATTTTATAAACTTGAAAAATTACTTTTATTTATGTATAATAGAAATTAATTTACACATTTAAGGCAATAAGCATACCCATAGGATTCTTAGATGATGTGGTGTTTATTCCCCTTAGGTACTGCCAGCCAGGTGAGCGATGGGGATGGGACTGTGGGTCTGGGACCACCTCTTGCTCTGCAGCAGATGTGGGTGCTCCTTAGAACCACTGTAGGGACAGAAAACCAGGAGACAGATCATCTGTTGTGCTGGCCAATGCTAGCTCCAACAGGTGTGTGTTTAAATAAATATTTGATACTGTCCAGGAAATACAGAGGGATTTGTGTATATGTTTCTGTGCTGAACTAGTCCTCTACACACAGCTGTAGGAATACAGCAGGGCACAGACTTTTGTTAGTTCTCTTCCCCTGGGCCTGGCTGCAACCAGGCTTTGGCTAAAGAGACAGCTTTTGAGAAGAGGTTTATTATCACTGAGGTCACAGGAGAGTCACCAGTGTGTGTGGGACAGAAAGGGTGGGGGGAGTATAGCGGAGGCCGTGGGATGGCAGGGACAGCACAGGCCTGGTGGAAGGGCTGTGATCACTAAAAAAGCAGCACCCTACCTGGTGTAGGACTTAGATCCAGGTTTCTGATGTCCCTGCTGAACATGTACAGCACTGGAGGACTGAGCAACCACAGACAGAGCCATGAGCACAGTGCCTCAGAATCGCCACACCAAGAGAAAAACCCTCCCTGCCAGACTGGCACAGAGCCCTAGCTCAGTACACAGTCCCCTGTAGTGTCCCACAGCCCCTGCACCAAACAGCAGATGAGGTGGGTGACATGGGGCTTCCACCACCCACAGGGCTGCCTGTCCCAGTCTGGCTGACAGAGGACAGAAGCTCATCTTTGTCAAGGGGAGAGGGTTTTTCCCCAAATAGTTGTTCTCTCAGGACCCACTCTCAAAAGTGACCTACAAAAAATTCTTCCAAAAATAAACCTAGGAAATGAGGTAATTCTGCCAAGCAGTAAACCCTATGAATTCATTGCACCTAACACCAATCACTGTGTTCCTGTTAACACCCCTGCTGCTGTCCTTTCCTCTTGGACAGGCTGGGCAGCTGCAGACACAGCCTGGATGATGGCAGTCACATGCAGGGAGCTTCATGTCCTGCTTCTTGTCAGGCCTATGGTAGCAACTAGCAACGCAAGGCTGAGTTGAATGGAAGATTCTGCTTCTTCCTACAAGCCTCCTGTCCTTGGACAGCAGTGCCTATTGCCTCCCCCATTAGCAGTCCTAAGAAAGCCTTGGCCAGAAACCTTCTCTGCTCCTGTCACTCTCCCGGCTCTTTGCCCCAGCGGGGTCTCAGGAGATTGGGACCAGGTGATCCAGCCGGGTCTGGTCGCAGCACGTCCTGGCAGGGCGCGCTGCATCCTCCAGCAGCGGGAACCGGGATGGGGGAACAGCCGTGAGCTGCCGTCGTGCCGGCGATGCCACGGCACCGGGATGCTCCTTAGCAGCGCTCGGAATTCCTGACACACCGGCAGCTGCGGAAACCGCGCATTTTCTGCGGGAAAACAGCCAGACCCGTGGGGGGCGCGGGGGGCACCCGGCACCGCACCAACCGGGGCCGCTCCGAGCGCCGGCGGCGCGTCTGTGCCCGCGGCCACCGGGTGTCACCGCCCCGGTGAGCGCGGCGGGGCCGGGCCTGGCCGGACCACCCCCCCGGGCCGGCAGCGGCGGCGAGAAGGGACCGGCGGCGGAGGGGCCGCGGCTGCGAAAGGATGGTGAGCGGGGCCGGGGGGCGGCGGGCGAGCCGGGGCGGACAGACAGCGCCTGCCGGGGACAGACAGACAGACAGGCAGGCAGCTTCTGCCGGGCATGGAAAGAAAGACAGACAGTCAGCTTCTGCCGCCGGCAGGATGCTGCTGACCAGCGGACTTCGGGGCATTCGGAGCACATCACTCTTGGGCTGCTGCTGCGCTGCCAAGGCTAGTCGGGGATATTTCAGCATTTCCCCGCCATCTCCAGCGCGGGGTCTGTCTCTGCTAACGCAGAACAGCAGCCACGGCACAGCCACCTCGCCCGCGGGTGCGGCAGCCGTGCGTGGCTGCTGTGCCCTCCTCGGGCTGCATCCACGGCACGGCGCATCACTGACCTGCGGGAGCCCCCGGGTCCTTCTCCGCAAAACAGGATGGACTGTTGGCTCTGTTTTGATGAATGCTTGTGAAATGCTGAGGTAAAGGCTGTGCTGTTTACTGAAAGATATAATGGCTGTCAAACATTATTACTTTATGCTTTGCAATATAAAATTAGCGGTGGAATCTGGAATAGGTGGCACATTGGGGAAGCATTTAAAAAATCAGTATGTATTTTCCATTTCATGTGTTTGTGTTTACAGTATGGATTTATAAACACATGCCTGAAGTCTTTGGTGGTTGAAAAGTATGGTGAAGAAACATGGGAAAAATTAAGGTAATGTGTTCCCAATAATTGTAGTGCATTGAAAGAAAACGTTCAGGAATTCAGCACCAGGGGATTATAATTTCCCATATGTAAGTGGCACCTGATGTGTAACTCAAGTAATTATTAGAAGTAACTAGCAGGGCAAAAGCAAGAGTTTCTTGCCTTGTAACACTTCATACTCTGATACTAATTTGTCCCAATTAATTTGTCATATCAGATAATTAAAGATGACATTTAGTCTTATAGACAATCATGCAATAGACTCACTAGCTCACTGTGACAATATTGAGAAGTAATTACACTGAAAAGATGCCATCCTTGATATAAAGCCAGTTTAATTCCAGTACTTTCAGAAACACAGCGAAATTATAGAATCACAGATCATCTTGTTCCAACCTCCCCACCATGGACAGGGAAGCTTCCACTAGATCAGGTTGCTCAAAGCCCATCCAACCTGTCCATCTATGATTTTATCTTTACTTTATGAACTATATGGGATTTTCCAATATATAAAGATATATAAATGATATTTAAATACATACGTATATTGATCTTTGAAGCTAATATAAAAAAGAACCCCACAAGCCACTTAGTGGAGCTGAACAGAAGACAAACTAAGATTCTGGTTGCTCTAGTACCCCACAGTAAGATGCCTGAATCCTTGAAAGAGTTTACTGCTACACCATAATATAAAATAGTAGAAATGGAGGGGTGAACACCACTATTCAGCCATTTTAAAGCAATTTAATTAATTTAAAGCAATTTAATTTTAATCTTAGATCATTATGGGAAGTAGTGTGTTCCACTGTAACGCTTGAAGGAGATTAAGGAGTGTTCACAGTAAACAGTGCTTGACAAATGCCAGTTGGGTCACCCAAGCATGTTATATTTACAGCACTGCTGAGACAGGACTATTGTCTTCCCTGTTGCAGACTGCAGGCTGGAGTCCAGGATTCTTTCTTGACTTTTGAGGTTTACAAAGATGAGATCACAATGCAGCTTGTCGACAAAGCCTGCAAAGTATTAGGTATGTGTCACCATGCTGCAAAAACAAACTGTCCTGGCTCAGGCCTGACACTGCAGCCCAGGTTTAGTTTCCTGTCCCCTTTGGAATGCCCTCCCTATGTTGCAAATATTCTGCCTTCGCTCTTAGTCCACCTGACAGCATTTCCAAGCCTTTCTTATTAGGTATCTTTATTTTGCCAGGTGTTCCTGCTGACTTGGTTCTGAGAGAGTTTGGAAAGTATTTCTTTGAATTCTGTAAGCGCTCAGGCTATGACCACATGCTGAGGACACTGGGTGGAAATCTCTATGAGTTCATAGAGAACCTGGATGCATTGCACAGCTACCTGTCCCTTTCTTACCAGGCAAGTCCGAGTAGTGATTGCTGAGCAGATATGGGTGGACTCTGCCAGAGTTCATAGCACAAGGAACAGCGTCTCATAGGTGTGAATGAATAATGAAAAAAACACACTATAACATGTCCTCCTGTGTTCTGAAACAGATTGCTCCAAAATGTTAGGGCAATTTTTGAGTAGTCCTCAAGGTTAGATATTATTTAGTACATTGGCGCTAATGCATAGCAGATTTTCCTTCACAGGTGGGAATATTTAATTCTCTATTATTTTTCAGCTTATTTATATTATTAAGACATGAATACTTTTGTACAAGTGGAATGCATCAGTATTCTTTATCAGAAAAAGATGCTGAGACTTTGATTTTGTTTGTTTTTTCCTCAGGAAATGAATGCACCATCTTTTAGAGTAGAAAAGAATGAAGATGGGTCAATGCATTTACACTACTATTCAGACAGAAGAGGTCTGTGCCATATTGTACCAGGTAATGAGACAAAATTCAGCATACAGATCAGCTAGTAATGCAGTTTATGTACAGAGTAATAGTATATTTGCAGATACACTTTGCTCAGATTTCAGACTCTTTTTTCAGCTAAGGACAGGCCATGGAATTGAAGTCCGGTAGAGTGTAGTCTCCAGATACCTAAACTCAGTATTTCCATACTGCCTGATCACTCCTAGCTCCCAGTAGCTTCCATCAAAATTTATGACATGACAACCCAGGCCATAAGTGTCCATTCCTGCTACAGAATTCCCTTCTTGGAAGAAAAATTAAAGTTCATGGTGTGTATTGTGTCTAACTATTTATTAGTTCTCAGTGACTCATGCTCCTTAAATTACAGTGAAGAAATTACAGAAATTACAGTTGATTTGAAGACATTCATCCACCCTGTAGGATGTGCAATCTGTAAAACTACTACTGAACCCTGCTGAAAACTGAATCTTCTACCAGCATTACCGGAATCTCCACAGTTGTACTTGTGCAAGGGTTAAACAGCTATAGATCTGTAAGAGACAATCGTATTCCTTTCTTTCACAGATGATGCTGAATTTAAAAGTTTATCAAAACTTTGTCAAAACTTGTTTCATATTGAAAGCACAGAACTATTTGGAATTTCAAACAGAGCTTTTGATGTCATCGTCCAGTATTTTTCCTAATACCTAGGCGGAAATGAGAGAACTGATTGTACATCTGCATGAAAGACATTTCCTTCCTTTCAAAATAAAATGCAATGACTGAAATAGATTGTATAGAAGAATCTCTCTAGACTCCCTGCATTTTTTGGGTAACGGGAATTTGTATTATTGCTCTATGACTACTTGAACACGTTCTTCAGATATCCTACTGAGCTGCTTCTAGTGAAAATAAGCATTTGTCCTCAGACAAGGCAAAAAATACAGTAACTTTAAAGCTTACCTCCTGTGTGCATATCCTCATCATGGTGGTGATAGTGAGAATGACATACATTGCTTTCTTCTTCCAGAGTCCTTTCGAAAAGTGATTTCTGATGCAGTGAAATTCCACCATGGACCCCCTAAAAGGGAAAATGAATAGGGTTTGTTCTTGGCAATACCTTGTCTTTTGTTTCCCCTTCAGGAATCATTGGTGCAGCAGCCCTGGATTTTTTTAACATTGAGATTTCAATGAAAATAGTCAATCAAACAGAAGAAGAGGAAAGAACTGGGAAAAAAGAACATATTGTTTTTCTTGTCACTCAAAACCCTGTATTTCCATGCAAGGAAAGAAATGAATTTGCTTCCTCACCTCAATGTCTTGTTGACTCTGAAAAACAAAGTGAGAGCCAACTGAATAAAGAGGTATTTTAATGTTCGTTATCAATATATTGTTAAAATATATTTAAAATGAAAATTTAATTTCCTTTTGTATTTATTTCAACAGGACCTTGAAAAAGCCAAGAATACAGCGGGAGACAGAGGAAATTCTGTCTGTCCTGTTAAGAAAAGTCACTGGAAAACATTAAGAGGAATAATCGCATTAGGGAAAGGTGAGAAATTGTTCAGAGGGAACTTGTCATCATTTCTGAGTCTCTTCAGTAAGAAAGTCAGTAAGCCTCCCTATCCCCACCCACCCATCCACTTGGAAGTTACCATTTATATTTCCTCTGTGAATTTTCAAAATGTTTCTGGTTAAGTTTCTTTCTGTTAGACATTGATAATCACAGGAAAATTGAAGATAATAAGCATGCTTAGTAATGACAGATACTTAAATGGAATATGACTGTCACTCTTGTCTCTTAAACAGGGCTTTCATCTAAAAAGTATTCTTCTATAAAATGTCATTGTGTGGTGCATTTGATTCTTCCTTTTCATGTCACTTGATTTAAAGACGATGAATTTAAAAGCATGTTTTTAACGTGGTAGATGCGACTCCTTTCCAAAGTTATCAACTGTAGTAAATTCGGAAAGCCAAATTACTTCCTCCTACCAAAAATCTACTGCTAATCTAGTAATCTCTGTTCATACCTTTATATACTAGATGTTTATATATGTTTGCAAAGGGAAAGGATTTTTTCAGTTTGGATCTTCTGATTCCCCAGAAGGAGTGAGAATCCAGCTCAGTATTGCCAAGCTGTCTGGATTCCGGGAGGAGTGAAAAATCAAACCTGGTATCATCTGGAGGAGTGTCACATGCATTACAAGGGCAGATATATTGAGTAAGAAATTAATATATATTTAAAATAAAATTTTAGAATAGCATTATTACTAAAAAAAAAAAAATCCTTTAGCTATGAATGTGAGAGTTATCAAGAGGCAGACTTTGATAAATGAAAAACTCACATTGACTTCCCTGAAGCAGTAAGACATCTAAAAGCTGGGTTCTAAATTTATAATATTTTGCACCAGTCTCCTGAATGACTTGAGAATTATTTTCAGCAGAATTTACTAGAGTAACTGTCATAGCCACCTTCTGGGGGAAAGAGAGCACTTGAAATAATCATCCTGTTGATTATTGTGGGTTACTGGAGAATCCAAGTTTATACTGTGAAGTTCAAAGGTTTTGGTGCTTCATTCAAAAGATAAACACATTTGATTATTTTACTCATTGTATTCCTTCTGTAAAAGTATCTGCTAGTAAGCACAACCTACTCTGTAGATTTGTCACCATTTTGAAAAAAATCTCAGGGTAAGTAAAACAGAAACCAAACAGTGATTTGGTCTCTGTGCTATGGACTTTAGCTCATTGTATGGGAGACTAAAACCCAGATTATGCTGGTTTTTTTCTCTGTAAGTGTTCCTTAGTAGCTAGCAAAGTGTATTAAGTCTGTTTCCATGCACATTTTTGTGAGATATAGGTGTGTTATATTGCTATGGCATCTGCAAACTCATAGAGCAGCAACATCTACAGTTGTTCATCTATTCTTATTTTTTCCACATAATTTGATGCATCTAGTGCTCTGTGCTTTTTGTGTGGTTAAGTTTTAAACTCTTAGCCAGTTCAGATTAGTTGCTAATCAGCTGTGAATTGAACTGCAGAGCATTTAGCACAGATGTGTGTACATTTCTGGCCCCACCTGCTGTTTGCTTTGTCTTCACTCATTATGATACAGGGTCCTGTCTCACTGAGCTCTAAAAAGTAAAGCAGTGCAACCTGATTAAAAAATACACATTTGTCTTGTCACAGGTAAGCTCCTGAGAGGATTTGATCCTGTTTATCCCAAGAGCCTCTGGATTGACACGAAAACATTTTGCAATGGACTTCCTTTCCATATGGTTTTTGACAAAGAGGTAGGACAAGCATGTGGTAAAGGCCTTTAGTTTGCATAAACCAAATAGTAATTTCTCTCTGTTCTGACTGTCCTGGAGTGCACTACTGTGTGTGCTCTGTGTGCAGTGTACACTCATTTGTAGGATTTGCAGAAGCACTCTGTACAGAGACATGCAATAAGCATGACAACTGGATCTGGATCGTTTCAGATAGGAATCTCCTTTGTCTTTACTGAGTTTACCATGTCTGAAACAGCTACAGATATGCCAACAAGGTTTATTGCAGCAGTCTGTCTGTTACCAAATACTGGGAAAACCCAGCTACCTACTAAGTCAAGCGGCATACAACCTCATCTAGAACCCAAAAATCCCTTTACCTTCTGGGGGAGGATTGAGTCTCTTCTCCTGTGCACACATACTGTTCCACCCCTTGGCAGGGCTTCCTATGGTGGGTTTCCAATTAGCCTGGGTTCCCACCAAGCTACAGTTCCTCTTGCTCCCAACTCTGTGGAGAGAATATATGCTTCAGACAGAAGCAAAGAGAGGAGAAGGTGAGGATAGGACAGCAGGAGAAAGCAGCTCCCCAGGGAACATGTTTTGGCATCATGCTGATAGAGATTCCAGAGCACATAATCTGCTTCCTGCCACTGCTCACATTAGACAAAATTCAGACTCTTAAACCTTTCAAGATGTCCAATCTACATAATCTAATAAAATGACTAGTGTGCAAAGACAGAAAGTCCTACGCCTGTTATTGGTAGCTAGGTCAGAGCTTCAATAACTGCTGACGAGCAGTGCAGGACATTTCTGCAGAAATTAAGAGCTCATGTATGGTCAGCAGGCTAAAAGAGAATAACTAAACCTTTACACACCAATGTTTAAGAGAAAGTAGCCCATGGCATCCATTAGAAGATCAATATTTGCCAAGGTGTTTTGGTGTCTTGCTAAAAAGGACATTCATTCAGAGCTTTGTAGTAATACACTAACAAGGTAGAAACTTTGCTCAGAGACAAGCCATGTGCTATAGCAAGGCTAAGTGTGTCTACAGGTATAAACAGTGACCAGCTGTAGCTTGGTCTGAACCCAACAAGACATGAATTATAACACATGGCCCATATTTGCTTTTTAAGCTCAGAGTGAAGCAAGCTGGGGTGAGCATTCAAAAGATTGTACCTGGCGTTCAGACCATGGGCATCTCCTTGGATCAGTACTTCAGGATCGTTCACCCGGAAGTACCCTTCACCATCTCCAGCATTCAGAAATTCATCAACAGCCAATTTGTTTTCCAAACTAGAAGAGAGATGATGCCAGAGTCATGGAAACAACGACCAATGCTAGAGCTGAGAGGTATTTTGCTGTTGTCAATGCATAAGTGTTCATTTTAAATCAGGAATTATGCTGAGTTGAACTGATGTCTTTCTGTGTACTCCTGACCTCACATAAGTCCTATAAATAGCCTTTGGGCAGTGAGGAGATTAGATGATTCTGTTTAGAGAAACAGTAGATGCTTGTAGACAAATTCTGCTATTACCTCACCAGATTTTGAAGGGTTTCAGTCAGAAACAACAGCTCTGCTCCCATTTGAAAGGCTTAGAAATATGGCATTTTTCTAATGCTGCAAAACCCACATGTGAATACATGATTAGTTCTTAATTTATGCCTTTGAGGGGAGTTATTTGCTACTGGCTGGGTTTCAAATGTGGATAAAAATAGATTAGTTAGCTGTGCTTTTATTTTTTGTAGTCACATTTTCAGATTCTGATTTCTGTCTTCACACACCCCCCCAATGTCATGTAAGAGTTTACCAGTTAAAATTATCTTAGCAAAAAAGATAATGTATTTGCTTTATTTTTGCTGAGAGGACTGAGTATGGAATGATCCTCTGCTTTGTGTAATTAACTATAATGACGTTTGGTTTAAGTGTTCTGTGACCTCAATTTTGCTTCTCTGAACTATGTAATATGTCCTAATTTTCCCTTATCTCTTTTCACCTTTACATAACGAGTGTCAAATCTGGTATTCCTGAGAGTCAGAAAAAAAATTAAGAGTTTAGGGAGATCTTGAAAAAACTGATGCTACCAAAACAAGGAACTTTAACTGGACACAATTGTACTTTCTCTTATGCTGTAGGGGGTTAATTCACATGGTTATCTCTGATGTTTCAATCCTCTTAGTTTTCAAGCTGTTCATCCAGTTGCCCTGGGGATGAGGTGAGAGAGAAAGAAAAATATAGGAATTCCTAGATTGCTGTTCAGAAACCAATGATACTTATGAAGCAAGTAAATAATAATAATAATAATAATAATAATAATAATAATAATAATAATAA